ATATTTTAAAATCATCACAGAAAAATGTCAGTAATTACCATTTTTAGCGATAGAATTAGATAATCGTGACTAATTATCAATTTTTAGCGACAGATTTATAAAATCATCACAAAAAGTCTTTAGGACATTTTGATCTAGGGTGAATTACACTAACGATCCCTATAATTTGGGGCTTGTGTCATTTTGTTCCATGACTTTTCAATTATGACATATTTGATCCTGAATTTTGAATCTTGATCCAAATAAGGACAACTGAAGATACCATTAGATTTTTCAAGGGCATAATCGTCAATTTGATAAAATATAAACTAATTTGACAAAAATAAATGTCAAAAAAATGTTTTTGAATTTTTAAAAATTATTTCTATCGTCAATTTGATAAAATATAAACTAATTTGACAAAAATAAATGTCAAAAAAATGTTTTTGAATTTTTAAAAATTATTTCTACCCACTAAGGATAAAATTATGAAAATTTGATAAATCTTATAGATATTTATTATTTTTTTTTTTACCAAATTAATTTTTATTATGTGTTTGGATGATAATCATGTAATGGGTGGTTGTTTTTGTTTTCATTAAATTAGTTTCTATTTTTCCAAAAGTCAAATATGGAGACAACTTTGATATCATTATTAAATCAATCCATTAAATTAAAAAAAATCCAAAACTAAAAACATTTAATATATTAAATATATCGATTACACATTAAAAACTTAACAACTACTCATTTCATAATCATCATCCAAACATATAATAAAAATTAATTTGGTAAATTAAATAAATAAATAAATGTCTAAAAGATTTATTAATTTTACATAATTTTATCTTTGGTGGGTAGAAATAATTTTTAAAAATTTAAAAATATTTTTTTGACATTTATTTTTGTCAAATTAGTTTATATTTTATCAAATTGACGATTTTGCCCTTGAAATGTCCAATGGTATGTTCAATTGTCCTTATTTGGAACAAGATTCAAAATTCAAGATCAAATGTGTCACAATTGAAAAGTTAGGGACCAAAGTGATATAAGCTCCAAACTATAGGGACTGTTAGTATAATTCGCCCTTTGATCTATATCGACACTTGTGGGATTTTACGGTGCACAACTAACAAAACCTACCTAACAACCAATTACCAAGCCCATTAAGCCCAAGCCTAAAAACTACTAGCTACAAACCCCATAATGGGGAAAGAAATATATCACCACAAAGAACATCAAACTCATTTTTATAGGAGTTGAATCCGAAATCTCACACAACAAAAAGTGTTATACAATTACTAGGCCAAATTGTATAAAAGTCTGAAATGTGAGATTTTGGACTTTTAATCTCACTTTTTTTCAAGCTTAAATGTGAGATTAAAAGTGTTATACATTTAAGTCAATTCTGAAGCTTAAATGTGAGATTTTGGACTTTTAATCTCACTTTTTGTGGGGTGAGATTTCGGACTTTTATAGTCCAACCCAATGGGTTGGATTTAAGCTTGAGAAAAATCCAACCCATCTCATCTCACACCGCAAAAAGTGTTATACAATTACTAGGCCAAAATCCAACCCTTATCTATCTTTTCACAAAACCATTCTTTGAACTTACTTAATAGGGGCGACCTTCACTCTTCATTTTGCTCCCTAACCCTAAAAGCTCACTCCATTAAATGCAATGAAATGAAAAGATTACGATTATCAGACCAATCTAATTTTTTTCATAAATGATATATACAAAGAACGTTATAAAATAAATTATTTAAATTATCGGAACTAGATCTTCAGTAGATGGGCCCAAACAAGCCTAATCGAATTACCATTCAAGTAAAACAAAATAAGAAGTAGAACTAAATTGATACTTAAAAGAACCCAATATATCCCCTAAAGCATAAAAAAAATAAAAATAAATAAAATATGTTAAATTACAAATGCACCACATAAAATTTCTCACGTTTAAAAAATTGTATCCTCTCTCTTGAGATTTTTTTTTTTTTTTTTTTCGGCAAAATAAAATCTTTATTGATGACAACATACAAAGTATGGAACAGTACATCAATAAAGAGGAGCTTAGAGCTAAAACGAAGCTCCAAGCGGCAGCTGGTAAGGAACCAACCAACAGAGAACAAGAACAATAACAAGAGAAGAAACAAAGACGAAAGAAAACAGTGAGAACTACATAGCAGAACAGAACTACCCGTCTTCAAAAATACGCAACATAACAGAGCTATCAGCATACACCTAAATACTCAATTAGAACTACAACTCCCGGCTGCCAACTGAAACAATTTACTCCACACAATCCAGCCCAATTGAATGCAAACCAAGAACAACTGCATCAAGCTCCACTGTCAGCAATCTATACACCAAAGCATCTTCCCATAAACAAACAGGCTTCCACATCAGACCAAAGACCTCCCACACTACCCATACACACCAGTTCAGCATAACTTAACGGCACAAAATCTGAGTAATACACCCTACCAGCCCAACAAAACAACATGAACGAAGCAGCAACACAGCAAACAGTATTACACCGGGCAGCAAAATAGCATACAATCTGGGTAATACACCAGTACATCATGCAAAACAGTAGTACCCCAGTACTTCATGGGTAATACACCAATCCAGCCTAGTGTATCTGTCAAGACCCACCAAAATAACATAGCAATAGTACTACTTACACCCAGCTACAAAGCCTAACAGATCAGGACACCCTACCAACATAGATCAGTACACCATACCGCAGATCAGTACACCATACCGCAGATGAGTACACCATACCACCACACCCACCCAAGCACTCCCTCACTTGCCTCAGATTAAACACAAAATCCTGGACTGAAAAATAAAACTCACTGAAGATATGCTTCAACCAAAATGTAACCCTATATTTAATTAAGTCACAAAGGTCCTCCAGATTTGGGATAGTTTTTCTGAATACACACTCATTCCTACACTTCCACACAGACCACATCACTACCAATGGAATCACCCTCCAGATCTTCCTTTCCTTCATCTTTAACTTCTCCCCTGCCCACCACAGCAATAAACACTCCACCGATCTTGGAATAGCAGCTTGGATACCCCACCAAACCAACATTTCAAACCAAACCCTCCACACAAAAGGACACCAGATTAAGACATGAGTCACTGATTCAGTGTCACTGCCACAAAACACACAAGCAATAGAATCACTAGAGTTGATCACCCCTAGTTTTTGCAAAAATTCCTTAGACTTAAGTCTTTTCTTCTATGCAAACCAACAAAAAACCTGCACCTTAGGATGGATATAATTAAGCCAAATCAATTTGGTAATGCTCATCCTGGCACCCATATTATCCACACCCCTCTTGTACAGATCTGCCACTGTGAATATCCCAACAGATGAAGCTAACCATTAGGCCTATCAACACCCTCTGAGCACTGAACAGGAGCCCCCCTCAAATATTCAAAAAGCCTTGTCAACTCTTGCTCTTCCCACTCACATAGCCACCTTCTAAACTCAAAGAACCAGCCACCTACTACACTTCTCTTATCAACCACACTTCTTAAGGATTCATTTTTATCCACAGCCAACCTAAACAAGATTGGAAATTCATCCTTCAAGCACACAGGCTGCCACCACATATCAGTCCAAAATCTGATTCTCCTCATATCCCTCACCTTCAACTTAAAATTATTCAAGTAAAATTCCTTGAGGCTACTACACTGCTCAGCCACTGCAATAATCCCTTTCCAAACTCCCGAGTGCCTGTTAGATGGGAAAAAAGTTGGGATCCATCCATCAAGCTCCAACCTATATACCTGCTAAAAATTACTCTTTTCCACAAAGTGTCCTTTTCACAGCCAAACCTCCACCACCATTTAATTAATAAACAGTTATTCATATCCCTAACTTTCCTAATACCCAAACCACCTTTCTCCACTGTTTTTGACAAGTCTTCCCACTTCACCATATGGATTTTTCTATCCGAGGCATACCCACCCCATAAAAATGTAGCTTCAATCTTCTCCAACTCTCTAGCTACCCCTTCAGGCAACTTGAACAAAGATAAGTAGTACACTGGCAATGCTGAAGTTACCGATTTGACAAGTGTTAACCGCCCTGCAAATGACAACATCTTTCTCTTCCAACCAGCCAGCTTGCTTTTGACTTTATCCACCATTGGTTTCCATGTAGCTTTCTTCCTTGGATTAGCACCTAATGGCATCCCAATGTACTTTGGAGGTAATGCCTTAGTTTTACAGTTCAACACTGCAACACAGCTATCTAACAGCTCCTTGGAAACACCCACACCGCATACTACGCTCTTGTGGAAGTTTATTTTGAGTCCCGACATAATTTCAAAACACCTAAGCACCCTTTTCAACTTCCTCACTTCATCCACCTGAGCTTCACAGAACAGTATTGTATCATCTGCAAACTGGAGATACGTTAACAGGACACCGTCATGGCCTACCTTAACACCTTTAATTAAATCTAAATGGGACGCACGGCTTAACAACTTATGAAGACCTTCAGCCGCAAGATTAAACAAAAAAGGGGACAAAGGATCCCCTTGTCTCAAACCTCTTTGTGGGCTAAACTCCTCCGTAGGAGATCCATTAACAAGCACCGAGAGCCACTCCTTAATCCACTTAATCCACTTCTCTCCAAACCCAAAATTAGATAACACTGAGAATAGAAAACCCCAATTAATTGAATCATAAGCCTTCTCAAAGTCTAACTGAATAAGTAACCCCTTCTTTTTGGCTTTCTTCCATCCGTCTACAACTTCATTAGCTATTAACACCCCATCTAAAATATTCCTCCCACTCAGAAACGCAGACTGGGATTCACTAATGATATGAGGCATTACAGATTTTAGTCTATTAGCGAACAATTTTGCTAAGATCTTATAAATAGAACTCACCAAACTTATAGGTCTATAATCCGATAACCCTATTGGATTCTCTTTCTTAGGTATAAGGGTTATGAATGAACTATTTATACCCTTTACCAACTTCCCATTGGTTTAAAATTCTTTCACAAACTGAACCACATCACCCTTCATGACTTTCCAGAACTTCTGATAACACATCAAATTAAACCCATCCGATCTCGGAGCCTTATTCCCATCACAATCCATCACTGCTGATTTAATTTCTGCTACTGGAAAATCTGATTCTAACCATCCAGACCTCCCCCTGCCTATCACTGTTGAGAAGCAACCCCCCAACACAAGTCTTGATGACCAATGCTTTGTGTACTGATTTTTAAAATGATCAAACACCTTGCACTTCACTTGACCCGGATCTTCCACCACCACCTCCCCATCTAGTATAGAATTTATTTCATTTCTAATAGTTCTGCCTTTTGCAACCACATGGAAGTATCTTGTATTCTTATCCCCTTTCATTGCCCAGGTAAGTCTTGACTTTTGTAACCATAACCGTTCAACCATCCTGCTCAACCTCCATATCTCAGCTCTGACTTCACTTCTCCTAACTTTTTCAGCACCATCAAGTTCTCCATCTTCAGCCAAGATATCAAAATTATGGAGTTCACCCTCTGCTGCCTTCAGTTTATTTTGTACATTGCCAAAGACCTCCACATTCCAACTTCCAAGGCTACCTTTCAATCTCTTCAATTTTTGAAACAAAATAAAACCAGCCCAGCCTACGACACTAGGCTCTTTCCAACTCAACTCCCAAAACTTCTGAAAATCTTTGTGTAAAAACCAAGCATTTAATACCCTAAAGAGTTTTGGACCCCAATCTCTCTCGTCCTCCATCAACAGAAGTGGACAGTGATCAGAGACCAGTCTAGGAAGACCCCACAGCTTAAAGTTAAATACCTCAATCTCTCTCTCTTGAGATTTTTAATTACATAACAAAGAATATCCTCCATTAATCAACCCGTTAACTCAAACTAGCAAAGTGTATGACATAAGTAACAAATCTTTTCAGAAACACCTATTAACCCATAGTAAGTTGAAACATTTTATTTTCTTTATTTTTTATTTTTTTTTTCTATCTCACCTTCATCGTTCTTTATTTTCTTTTAATTACCAACACCATTTTACCAAACCATCATGCCACCCTTTTCTACTTTTGATCAAAACTACCGTCACTATTGTTTACAAGCATTTAGTGTGTCATTAAGTAGAATTACAGAAGTGGTATAGAAAGAGAGGAATTTGGTGGTGGGTAGATAAAAATAAGGGCAATATGATGATTTCATTTTCGTATTAGAGAGTTTTTGGATAGTTCCTGGAAAGCTTGTTTCCGGTGCTTCGATTTAAACACAAGAACCATCCAAGCCGCCCTTCGGTTATTAGATTAGTTGCAGAAAATATTTTGATAACAAAATATTTGTAATTTTTAAAAACTGAGAGGAGAATCCATATTTCTAATAAATCTCAATAGGTGTATTTGTAATTTATCAAAGAAGATTGAAAATAATAATAATTCTAAAATAAGGATTTTATTATCTTTATTCATATCAATTAAAAAAAAAGAAAAAAAAAACTTAATCAATCTCTTTGTTTTTGTTTTCGAATTTTTTTTGTCATTATTAACAATTTTCAAATTGTTCTACAAATATTTAATTTTTTAAATACATTTAAATTATGTGTATTTAAAAAAAAAAATTGACTAAAATATAAGGACAAAAAATACAAACACTCAAAAAATCAAAAACAGTTCTCAAAAACTTATGCTTTTGCCAATTGTTATATTTTTGGGGTTACACCAATCTTCAGATGGCAAAGCAAAGTCAAGGGTCGATTGGGCTTATGTGAGCCAGCTTGATAATCTAAATCATTAAATTGTAAAATCTTCCAAAGAGCCTATCAAATATCAATATAGAAAATCAAATTCATCAAATGACTAGTGCTACATAATCATAATACATTTGTATTTAAATAAGGGAATGTACCAATAAGTCCCATACATAAAATTCAAAATCATCTAATCTCAAAACAAAACACTTACATCAATTAGTTCTACAAATTTTTATTTGTTACCAAAAAAATCCTACTTTTTATTTTTTATTTTTTAATTTACAGACGCTGCTACATCCCATTATTGTCAAACTTTCGTCAGACGGTCGCCGGAGATTTGTTAAAATATTCAACATCATCAAAAAGTCGCCAAAGAATCACTGGAAATTCGCCGAAGTATCACCGGAGTGTTCTGAACATCACTAGAAGTCGCCAGAATGTCTAGAACATTCGCTGATTGTTAAGAATATCGTCAAAGACTCACCGGAATATCTAGAATATTGTCGAAAAAAGAATAAATGGAGAAATTAGAGCCAAAAAAATCGAAAAATGAGTTAAAATTGGTAAATTGATAAGAGAGAGAGACAGAAAGACAGAGAGCGTAACAACAAAAAATAGCAACAATGAAAATATATATATATATATATATGTTATTTTTGAATTTTCATAAGGTTTAAGTAAATAATCTCTAATATTGATCAAACTGAAAAGAAAATTTTCAAAATATAAAATGTTACAATTTCAAAGAAAAAATCGATTAAGCATTTATATGCTTATTAATCAAACTGAAAAATATGCTATAAAACTGTAAAATTTTACAATTCTAAAGAAATTTATGAAGTTGTAAAATTTGTACGTTTAAAACGTAATTCAATTCAGTACCAAAAAAACTGAAACAGTGAAATTTTATAGTTTTCACCGCCAGTAACTAAAACTCAAAAACAACTTGTTTAGAACATGAAATTTTTCTTCATTAAAATAAGAAAAAGAGAAGTGTGCAGTAGAGAAAATATAGAAAAATTGAAAGATCGAAGGAGAGAGACAGATATAGAAGAGGATTGTACTTTGGCAACTATTTTTGGTTTAGATCTAGTCGGACCTAATGTTGATCTACTCAGATTTTATGTAGATCTACATTAGATTTCAGTAAATCTAGTCATCTTCTTCGCCGAAAACTCACTTCCTTCACCGTTAGTGAGGGTGAAGTAAGGAATCGGTGGTTGCAAGTGAACCACAATTGGTAGTGGTCGTCGTTTGTCAATGACTACATATCAGAAAGAGAAAAAGAAAGAGAAGAAGCAAGACGTGGCTGTCGGTCGCTGATCGTCGATGTAACACTTTGTACTCCTTGGACTAGTGGAATTGCTCTGGACTCTATTAATATTACAATTGGAGCCTCTTGTATTCAGTTTAGAGTATTGATTAGGGTGGTATCACAATGGTAAAGTATGATTGAACCATAGACATTAATTCAAATAATTGTCCTAGGAGCAATCTTCACTCTTTTACCTTTTCCTCTTTCCACACTTTGAATTTAGATGTAAGTCTAGGACCATTGGAAAGCTTGTTTCCGGTGCTTCGATTTAAACACAAGAACCATCCAAGACGGAGTTCAGACGAGGGAATTATGCTCGTTTGAAATTTCAATACCTGTGTTGGAAGCAAGTCCCCTCAATCGAACTGTTGACTACTCGAGCAATCTGTTCAAGATTCAGAGAGCTTTATTTCACCGCTCCAGTCAAGCTTTGACCACTTGAGTGGTCTGGTCGAAATCAGCCACTTTAAAGTCACTTTTCGGTCCAAACATTTCATTTTTTCTTCTTCTCTTCTCTCTCTCTCCTCCATACACAAAACCCTAGACCTTCAAACCTTAGTTTCATCTAATTTTCACCAAGAATCCACCTCTAATCTTGAGCTAAAAACGTGGAGCACATAGAGATCAACATTTTTATCAATTGGATTAGGATTTCTTTGAGGTTTCTCATTGGGTCTTCATATTTTGCTTTCGTCTTTGAGATAGGGGCACTTTTAACTTTGTATATTTATGATTTAGGGTATATATGTGGTATTTTCTTAGTTATATAGAAGTATGAGATGATTTTATTATATAAAATGGTTGGATAAACAAAATGGGGTGTATACCTAATGTTTTTGGAAAAGATTATAAATGTTTCTTGTTAATTATTGTTGTTGATGATGAATATTGTTTTTGAGTGCAAAGGATGAGCAAACCCCAATTTTTCCAAAAATCATAATTTTCAAATTTGATTTCATAATGGGGTTGGCCAGATTGACTCTTAAAATCTTGAAATTAGGTGAATGATTATGGCAAAGGTGTTGAGATATGAAATTTTTGAAACTTTTGGCTATATGTATTGAGATTGATAAATGTTGAGATTGTGGAAATTGTGAGATTGGAGAAATCCTTTGATTGTTGATATTATTAATGTTGTTTTGAATTGAACAAACCTTGGGAAAAATTTATTTGAAAACTCATACATCATGTGCATCATAATTTCTCTTGTGATCCTTCAATTTTGTGGATGTTTTGAAAGTGTTGGAAAGGGGTAAATAGCATATGAGTCTAGGTAGTTAAGTCAGGTCTTTCGTATTGGGTTGTGTGTTGTATTTCGTATGCGCGAGGGGAGTCAAGGTGCCCAATTACCCTGTCTTGAGCGTATCATCGGATGAATGTGGGAAAAGTTTTTTGAGTTTCCACCAGCCCGCTGTTTTCAGAGTCAGCAAATGTGGGAAAACATGGTTGTCGGTATTCACGAGCCCCTCATTTTAGGAGTCAGCGAATATAGAAGGGGAAGGTTTTTGAGTGCCCATCCCCCCACCGTTTTTAGAGTCAGCACATGTGGGAATATTTTTTTTTGTATATATATATATATGTATATTAAGTTTTATGGCTCTTGCTTGAGATGTCATAGCGTGTTTACTATAAGAAAAAAATATGGATTTTCTTAACAATTGCATAGCATGTTCATATGCATCTTGATCATTTGCATACTCTGTTAAAAGTATTCATATCAGGCCTTTGCTCACCCCAAATCTAACAAAACTTTCATGTCCTGAGGAGGTGATTCCACACCATTGGTGATCTTGTGAAGAGTTGTGATGGAGCACTGAGGCTCTTTGGATGTGTATGTTTTTATAGCTGCCGATCTTACTAGTTTGGGAAAGTATTCCCCTTATTTTTAATCAAGGCCCTCACCTTGAAACGTGTAAACCCTTAGGGTAGTTTTGTTGTATTTTCTCTTTTTTCTCAAATTTCATGTCTTGTTAAAATTTTCAAATCTTTCAAGTATAGTACATGAATGTAAGCTCTTCTGCGAAATTCTATGAGAAATACAACATTTCTTTAATGTGTTAATTCATACAAAATGGATTTAATTGATGATATGCGGAGAATATTTAATAATACTTATTAAAATTGATTATATAAAGGTTTATAAATTTAAGGGTGTTACAACTTGGTATCAGAGCTTACCAAGTTTGAATACCTTGAGCATGTTTGGATGTGGCTTTTGCTACGATGGGTTTATCATGCAAGGAAGGGACATTGGTTTACCTTGTATGTTTTCTGTGTTTTTGTGACTATGTGGGTATGGGGTTAAGTTTTTAGGATAAACTTGTGCCTATTACATCCATCAAAATCCTTTTGGAATGGCACCTGATCAATGTTTTTTCCTCTCGGAAGTCTTTGAGCGACATAGGACGAGTTAATATCTTAGGAGAGTAATCCATATGTGCCTTATGTGACTATATGCTTATGTGGTTTGCCTTACGCGGAAGTAGATACATGTATAGGTGTATGTGTAACTCACGTGTGGAGTATTTAAGTGTGGTTAAACCTTATCTCTATTTTCTTATACAATGTAAGGTGCAAGTGAACCCAAATGGGGGAAAAACTTTTGGGACTTGAATTTTTTACACCACTTTTATTGATATGGTATAATGTTTTAGGATCACATGAGAACCCAATTATGAGATTTGTATGGAACCTT